AGATATAGACTATATCATTTCTTTCAATCTCTCAAATTCTCCATTTCAAGCCAAGTCTTCCTCCCATTGGCCAGAAGGTTCTAAATGAGTGGAGATGCGTATACATGCTGTGTGTACAGGCACAAGCACACAGTGACAAATGCACATGGAAGGACCAAGGTAGGAAGGAGGAACTAGGAAGAAACCCCCAGTCAGGTCGTGTCTTAGACGTGAATGATCTTAACCTTTGTGCTTGTGTGCCTAATGTTATTCTGCAACTTAACTCAGGCCACTATTTAATATGGTAGTGGCAGGTGGGTCTCTCACCTGGCATACATCTGAGAACCCTGGCCCTTACAAATTTGCCCCACCCACACAGTGAAGCTGAAGGTGTCATATCTAACACCCTTCCACTCCCAATCTTCCCATGTCCCTCACTTCCACAGACACCCAGTGCCCCCATCCTGCTCTCAACTTTCCAGAAGTGTGTGACATCCAGAGAAGCACCTCTGAGCATTTCTGGAGCATATGTTTCCTGCTGCTGAATACTTACTTAGCTATAAAATATGCATGCCCTAGTGGCACAGTAAATAATTGTTATCATTGTGAAAGCTATGTAAAATAGATAATAAAATCATATCCATGTATAGAAGAAAACAGTCATTTTAATTTTCCTGCCACACCCCAGTTTCATCTTGTGTTCCCCTCAAGTATACACATGCAATAATATTTCTATTTACAGCATTAGTATCAGAGGGATTTGAGACTAGGTCTTTTTTTTTTTTTTTGCTTTTCTCCGGTACCGGGAACCGAACTCACGACCTTGCACTTGCCAGGCAGGCGCTTTGCCGCTGAGCTAAATCCCCAGCCCAAGACTAGGTCTTAACTCTACTCTTACCATCTGTGGGCAAAATAGCTAAGCCTGAGTTTTCTTATTGTTAAGATGCTGATATATTTCCTTATCTTCCTATGAAGATATACCCATCTTCATCATCTTTATTTTCTTTATTCCACTTTAGAGGAGTTTTATTGTCTCATTTATTCACTTCTGCATTAAATTGTTTAGCCTACAGATATTTATTAAGAGCAATTTATGTTTTAAATACAGTTCTGGTGGAGGGAAACGTGACAGGGCCAAAGCATCAAAGTGTTTGCCCCTGTGGAATTTATATCCAGGGGGGCAGACTGAATGAATAAGTATGCCAGACTATGCCAAGTAGTGAGTATTCAGTTTATAAAGATAAAAAATGAAATGTTATGAATAGGAGCAGGGAAAATTTTAGATTGGGTGACCAAAACTCCTCATTGATGGGTGACATCTATATAAGTACTTGGAGGAAGTAGAAGTGGAGGAAGAAGCCATCCACAGAAATGAATGTCAATATAGCTGAGAGTACAGGAAAGAAAAAGATAAAAGTAGATAAATGGATAAAGAAAATGTGGTATTTACACACAATAGAGTACTACTCTGCCATAAAGATAAACTTGAGTCACTTATAAGAAAATGGATGCACGTTAAGACCATAATGTTAAGTGCAATAAATCAGAAATATACGCTTAAGTATCACATAGTTTCTATTACATGAGAAACACAAAATATAAATAAACAGCAAAATAAAAGCTAAATAATAGAAACTAGAGAGATAGCTTTTGTTCAAATGGGAAGAAAATCAAGAGATAGAGGAAGGAAAGGTGAGAAGATGAATGGCAAAAGGAATCAGGATGTTCTCTGTGTATGTACCAACTCCACACAAGGAATGTAAACATGCACTACTAAAAATAAGTAAATAAAAAAATATGACAATAAAAATCTAACTAGAAAGAGGATAATGATGATTTTAACAGAGATCATTTCCATGTTTTGCTGTAGAAATAGACTGGCAAGAACCGGATAGAAGATGAGGTGAGAAAAAATGCAGGTAAAAATTTTAAGAAATTTTCCATAAAGGGAAGCAGAAATATGGAGCAATTACTGAAGGGAGTTAAAGGGTTTAGGATTTGCTGTACTGTTTTGTTTTCCAGACAAGAGATAATATAGAATGCTTATACACTGGTGGAAAAAATCCAGTAGAAGGCCATCATTTCATGGAAAGATGACACACTGATGTTCAGATGACTGTAAATTTTGCCATAATTTGTATTCAAAATTTTATATTGATAGTATTTGGTCATGTCATTCATTGCCAGAAATCCAAAGAGATATATTAAAATATCACATTAATTATCCCCCTCCCCCAATTTGCTGAGGGTCTTGACAAAAAATATCAAATAAGAATTCAAATATCACTCTACCAATGTTATTCAAGCACCCAATACTCCAGATCAAATTTTTAATAATGGTTGACTAACATCCTATAGCTCAGACCTCTTGTCCAAGTTTCAAATCCAATTAATGGAATCTTATCCTCCCTAGGAAACTTCAGGAAGAAGGTAAACTGGAGAGAGTGTTGGTCTCGAGTCCACTAGCACATCCCCATAGAGTGTAAGAGACAGCAAGGGAGCAGAGGCTGTGTTTGTTCTATATTGGAATCACCATACAATCCATTCATTATTGTAGCCCAGACAATATCTTGAGTTCTAGTAATTCACATTAGTAACTCTAAGGGCAGGGGTAGAGTTGGCCAGGCCTTCCAAGTTCTTGTCACCTTATGTTGGTAGTGGGTAGAGGATTGAGGATTACTCAGTCTTATTTAACTAGGAACCTCTGAAGACCATCTTCTAGCTCAGAAGCATGGTCTTCATAATGAAAGCTTCAGACATCAAAACACGTGGGTTAGAGAAAGGCTAGGAGTAATGTTCCTAACCTCTCACTCCCATTTTGCTGATTCATGCAAAGTTCAAGCTCTTTAGAGGATCTTTCCATGTTCATGATATACAGATTCTTCATTGTAAAACCTCCAGGAAGATCTCTTACAGTATCTTCTCTCTCCCCTCCAAGATGCTCAAATGAATGTACTTTTTCTTTCAAATAGCCCATAACTATCAAATCACTCAATTTTTATTGCATGGAAAAAACAATTGCACTAGAATCCAGTGACCATACTTTTTGAGTAGCTCAAAAGGAATTTCATAATTCAGAATTAATTAGACAATGAAAGAGAACAGGAGGCATATTTTGGTGTACTAATTCATGCCAAGTTCAAATTCATTTCTTCCCTGTTACCCAGTGTGAATAATTATGCCATTAATCCAAGGCAGGAGGAGAGCTGCTGTGACAGCAACATATTTCTAAAGCAAATAAAGAAAAATGCCACTTCTCTCCATCAACTAATGCTCTGAATACAGCTACATAATAATAATAGTTTTATTTATTTATAGGGCATAAATTCCCTAGGGCTAAATAAACTACACAATAGCAAAATGCTAAAGAGAAAAAAAAATAGACCTTCTCTGCTAATTCTGAAACAAGGCATTGGGTAGGAAAAATGACCAAAGGGAAAGTTTGAAAATTAAGGAGCTCTAGAAATGGGGCTGAAAGGAAGAAGTGATGTGTGACTTACTGATCTTCCGCTGCCCTTCTTCCACACACAGTTCTCACTCAGAGGGTTCACCATGTGGGGAAGAAGAGTTTAGTAGACATTTAACCACCCCAAAAGTGAGCCTGACTACACGCATCCTTTGCTGCCAAGACAAAGCAGTTTAGTCTGCTCCCTTCCCCACTTCCGGGTTCCCTTGCAATTCCTGTGCGGTTTACTGGGCATAGACGAATGGGTGGACCAGTGTGTTTTCCCATTCATACCCTCTCCGGATGGATCAGCAGTGTACAGGGTGGCTTTGTGTGACTTTACCAGCTTCACAGCATGGAAGAGGAGATTAGGAACAGACACAGGGGCCGATACTATGAGAATGAAGTTCCACATTTCCTCTGAAGCCAGGAGGGAGAAGCTGAAGGTCCACCAGACAGGCCCTGGGTGCCTGAAGTCACAGAAGCAGTGGGAGCACAGTCCTCACTGCCCTGACACCAGTTCTTCTGCAGGGACCTGTTCTGGGCTCACACAAAACACTGCCCATCTCTGCCAACTGGAGCAGAGGGGGATCTTGCAGCACAAAGTCTGGGAGGCTGAGCTGGGAGACGGGCCAAGATCTTCTCAGTAGCGCCTGAACCTGGCACAATGTCCAGAACACAAGAGTTCAGTGCTGCCCTGAGCAGACTCCCCAGCTGCCTCGCATTCTGTCTCTATTTGACTGGTGAAAGTCACATCACATTTTTAAACATCTGTTTCCCTAATTATAGATGGGGGAGCAGTGAGCTGGTCATAAAACGTGTGGGGAAGAAAAGGGTAAGAATGGTTTCTGCTTTGGGCCTATGAAACTAAACAGATGTGATGCTAAGGGAGAAGATGAGAAGGGGACACCGGTTTCAGGAGAGATTAATCAAAAGCTCTGTTTTGTGCAGTTGCATATGTTGTGTGTGTCGCACATTTATGGAAAGTTAGGCAGGCCAGTTAAAGTTTACAGAAAGATCAGGGCTACAGTCAGCTCTCTTTGACTGTTTTGGGACTTAAATTAGGTAAAAATACATGCATACTCTTGGGTATCTCGAAAGGACGATGTGAGCATAAGTAATAAATGACTAGATGCTTCTTCTGAGTCACTATATCAAATACATATGCTCCTTAATATTTTAAGAAAAACTGTTCCTGTGCTCAATGATTTTCTACTACATAAACTGGATGATCTAAGTGTTAAGAATGTTTGTTTTTCTTGGAACTATGTAGAAATTACTATTATTTGAAAATAAAATAGCCTGGTACTAACAGTTTCACTCTCCTTAAATTGCTCCCTCATGTGAGGCGGAAGAAAAAAAACATCCGTTTGCGACGGCTGTCGGGCACTAGAGGGCGCCCCGCAGACGTCAGTGGATGTAGGAGCTTCTAAGAAGGTGCAGTTCTGACTCCCGGACCTCTGCCGCCTTCCCTGCTTCCCCTAATGTGTAAATCTGGGCTCCTGAGACCATGAACGAAGGAGGGCGTCCCTCACCTGACCATTTTGGTCAGGAGACAACAAGAGCCAGACAGGACTTTTCCCAAAGACAGGATTTTTTTCCAAAGAGGAGACAATAAAAGCCAGACAGAAGAGAAAGGGGAAGTAAAGAAGGAAAAAGGGGACAGGGGATGAAAATGCAAGGAAAATAAGAGCTGCCTATGATGAGCAGTGGGAGGGTTCCAGAAAGTCCGGGCCGGGAGGAGCCTCAGAGACCATTTTTGCAGGATGGTAGGGTAGAGGGCCTCCTAGGGTGCTGTGTCCTCCGCCAGTGTCTGTGTTATCCCACTGCGTCATCTTCATCAATCGCACAGGGTCTGTCCTCGCCCTCATTCACAGCAGGTCACATTCTGCAGAGGCCCGAGACCACAGACAGTGCCCGGCCTCACAAGGACCATTTCCTCCTAGACACACCTGCAATAAAGTTTGATTTATAAATTAGGCAAAGTAAGAGAATGAGAACATAACTAATAAGAAAATAGAAAATGTATAACACTATATCATAATAAAACTTATGAACTATTTATGGAAGTTTTTATCTAAGATTTCACACCATTGGGGCTGGGGATTTAGCTCAGTGGCGAAGCACCTGCCTGGCAAGTGCAAGGTCGTGAGTTCGATTCCGGGTACCAGAAAAAAAAAAAAAGATTTCATACCATGATTGACTGCCAGTAATTGAAACCATGGAAAGCAAACTATGGAAAGAGGTTACTGCTGTATGAACCTATCAGAGGCCCGCTAGATGACACTTGATCCCCAACATCCTTTCACAAGAGTCTTCCCCGTCCTTATAGTCACTACTCCGAGTCCCAGTACAGTGAGGTAATGACACAGACTACTACCATGTCACATGGCACATTTCAAGTAAGGTACTAGATACAGTAAGTATGAATTGAAGATGTAATTATAATAACTGGTCTTATGACTTCAACTTTTAAAGGGCCCTGGGGATTATATTACTTTTCCCAGCATTCTTTAAACAATTAAAAAGTATTCCTACTGTTTTGAATTTTAAATGAAGACTGGAAATTTTAGTATTACACAGAATTGGATTTCAATCCTGGCTTTCCTTGCTTGCTGGTCCATGATTTGGGGCAATATTTCTAAGCTCTATTGCCTTCTCATCTTTGAAATAAAAACAAAAATAGTATGTCAGAGGTCTCTTATGAGGGTTGCAAAAAAATAAGATATTGTTGGTAAATCTCACTGTATCCTGTCAAAAAGCAATTTGTAAAGTTACTTTGAAAAGGGTGAATATGCTTCATAAAGTGCTGATATTAATGATAGAAACATGGAGACATGGGTGTGGACAGATAGTGCACAAAAGGAGATAAATATATGTGAATAACATGTATCCACTGGTAATCAAAGAATGCAAAGTAAAGCAACATGGCAAACATCTCTCTCCTCTTCCATAGTTTCCCATTTCAGTCCATCCCAGTTTCCCATCCCAGCCTCCATCCTCCCTCAGTCATCTAAGGTACTTAGACATTGAATCAACTGCATCCTCAAATATAGAACAATTTCAGGATCAAAGTATCAGTAAGTAATTATAAACTGTTAAATAAAGTAAGGATTCACAGGTCTATACCGACAAAACCCAGTTAATGTATGAATAAGTAAGAGCGAAGGGAAGGCTTTTTTTTCTTTACACAAGAAAGTCACCTAATAATAAATGCTGAAGAATGACAGAATTAGAAAATCACCATTTGTTAGTCACCTAATTATAATTTATTTTAGGAATGAACCATTGTCATTAATAAAAGGTGTCTGACGAGAAATGGGATGTTACATAGTATCAATACATGTGTCCGCAATAACTTTACTGTTTTATGGGAGAACCCTGGCAGGTATAACCTTAGTAGTCAAACATAACATTGCCAGTGACAGGGTTCATCCATGGCATGAGCTCCTGCTCTGCTTTTCAGAGATTTCAGCATCCTCCCATAGCATCAAAGCCCATCATCCAAGCCATTGACCTTGAGAGGTCATGGGATGAATCAGGTTGAGGGCCAGTCTACAAAGTAACTGACCTACACCCTTTACAACACTCTAGGCCGTAAAGTACAAAGAGGAAGAAACTCCTCCTGATTAAAGAAACTGAAGAGAAAAATATCATGAAATGTAAGTATGATCTTGTATTTTTGTTTGCAATATCGGTAGGGGGCATTATTGGAAAGAAAAGTAGAAAAATATAAGTAAGTCATATAGATTATATAACATCACAGTAATGTTGATTTCTGAATTTAACAGTGATACTGGCTTTTAAAAAAAGAATCCTTTCCTTTTAAAGAAACACAAAGCAATACATCTGCAAATTACTTTAAAATTGAATAAAGAGAAAATGAAAGAAGAGAGAGAAGAAAGAGAAAGGAGAGAAACAAAAGGAGAAAGGGAAAGAGAGAGGACAGAGAAAATACTGACATTTAGAATCTTGGTAGAGGTTATCCAGAAATTCAAATTGTATTATTCCTGCAACTTTTCTATCATCCTGAAATTCTGTAAAAATAATAATCCCTCATTGAAACTTATTCCATCTTTTCCATTACTTCCCAAGTGCAGCCGATCACTGGGTCCCTGTGGTTCCTTCTCCTCAGCATCTTGACAACCCAGTCACTTCTCTTCATCTCCACAGCTACATCCTAAAGCAAACTACCCCAGAACCACAGCTAACAAAAACATAGCAACAAAAAACATAGCAAAGGTCTTAATGAAATGATCTTAGATACTTTACCTTCCTAGTATTCCTTTAAATCAACACTGTATTGAATACTTTATCAATAAACAAGGGAGTACCATACTATTAAGTGAAATAAATCAGACACACATGTGTAAATACCACATTGTTTCTCTGGTGTGAGAAACCTAAAATATACAGAAGGAAAACTCCATAAACACATGGAAATTAAACAATACCCTCCTAAACAACCAATGGGTCACAGATGAAATAAAGGAAGAAATTAAACAATATCTGCAACTAAATGAGAATGCAGCTACAACATAACAGAACCCAGGGATGCTATGAAAGCAGCCTAAAGAGGGAAATGGATAGCAGTGAAGTCTCACATCAGGGAATCAGAGCTAGCACAAATAAACAATCTAATGCTGCACCTCACGCTTCTAGAAAAAGAAGAGCAAGACAAACCCAAAGCCCATAGAAGGGAGGAAATTATAAAGATCAGAGCAGAAATTAGCACAATGAAAACCAAGAAAACAATACAAAGAATAAATGAATCAAAGAGTTGGTTCTTTGAAAAAATAAATGAAATTGATAAGCCCTTAGCAACCTTACCAAAAAAAAAGAAAGACAATATTAAATTCATGCATTAAGGAACAATAAGGGAGAAGTCACTACAGAGCCTGTGGAAATTCAGAAAATCATCAATAAATACTTTGAAAATCTTTATTCTCATAGGATGGAAAACACAGAAGATATGGACAAATTCTTAGATACATATGAATTACCAAAGCTGAATCAAGATATAAAATTCTAAATAACCCAATATCAGTTAGTGACATTGAAAGTGTAAAAACTTACCAGCACAGTAAAGCCCAGGCCCTGATGGTTTCACTGCTGAATTCTATAAGAAATTTAGAGAAGATCTAATGCCAGTACTCTTCAAATTCTTTAATGAAATTGAAAGGGAGGCAATAATCCCTAACTCTTTCCTGGAGGCAAGTATTGCCCTGATACCAAAATCAGAGAAAGATACAATCAAAAATGAGAACTACAAGCCAATCTCCCTAATTAACACAGGTGCAAAAATACACAATAAGATACTAGCAAACAGAATTCAAAAAATCATCAAGAAGATTATACACTATGACCAAGTATGATTAGTCCCAGGGATGCAGGGATGTTCAACATATGCAAATCAATTAATGTAATACATCATATTAACAGAGCCAGAGACAAAAATCACATGATCATCTCAAAAGATGCAGAAAAAGCATTTGATAAAGTCCAGCACTCATTCATGGTAAAAACACTACAGAAAATTGGAATAGATGGCCTTTAATTTAGTCTGATAAAAGCTATCTATGGCAAACCAACAGCCAACATCATAATAAGGGGACAAAAACTGAAAGCTTTCACTCTAAAATCAGAAACAAGAAAAGATGTCCACTATCACACTTGTTTTCAACAGTTCTGGAAACACTAGCCAGAGCAATTAGACAAGAGAGTGAAATAAAAGGAATAAGGATAGGAAAGGAAGAAGTGCAATTATCGTTATTCACAGATGGCATGATACTCTAAAGACACCAAAACTCCACCAAGAGACACCTACCTAGAGTGAATAACCAAATTCAGTAGTGTAGCTGAATACAAAGTCAACACTCAAAAATCAATAGCACTCTTGTACCCAAACAACAAATTTATTGACAGAGAAATTAGGGAAATCACACCCTTCACAATAGCATTCAAAAAATTGAAATACTTAGGAATCAATCTAACAACAGAAGTAAAAGATTTATATATTGAAAATTATAGTACTCTGAAAAAGGAGATTGAAGAGGATTTCAGAAAATGATATCCCTTGCTCAAGGGTAGGAAAAACTGACATGGTGAAAATGGCCCTACTTTCAAAAATTTTATACAGATTCATTGTAATCCTTATTAAAATACCATTAGCATACCTCACAGAACTAGAGAAAACATAAAATTCATCTGGAACTAGAAGAGACCTAGAATAGCCAAGGTAATCCTGGGCAACAAAGACAAGACAGGAGGCATCACAATACCTGACTTGAAATTATACTACAAAGCTACTGTCATAAAATCAGCATGGTACTGGAAAAAATACAGACCCAAGGACCAGTGGAACAGATTGGAAGATGCAGACATACCAAACACACTCTGCCACCTTATCTTTGATAAAAAGGCCAAATATGTTCACTGGAAAAAAAGATAGCCTTTTTAATAAATGTTGCTGGAAAAACTGACTTTCCACATGCCAAAGACTAAAATTAGAACCATCTTTATCACCATGCACTAAAGTAAGGTAAAAAATGGATCAAAGATCTAGATATTAAAGCAGAAACACTAAATCTACTGGAAGAGAAAGTAGTTCAAAATCTTGAAGATACAGGCATAAGCATAGTGTTCATGAACAAAACCAAAGCTGCACAGAAATACTTCAAAGAATCAATAACTGGGATCTTGTCCTATTAAAAAGCTTTTGTACTTCAAAAGAAATCACCAATAGAGTGAAAAGACAACCCACAGAGTGAGAAAACATTTTAGCTAACTGTCCCTCAGACAAAGGACTTATATCTAGAACATATAAAGTATTGAAAAAAATCAGACCCCTCAAATTCAAAGACCCAATCCAAAAATGGGCTTCTGAGGTAAATATGCACTTCTCAGATGAAAAAATACAAACTGCAAATAAATACATGAAAAAATGTTTCATATCATTGATCATTCAGGAAATGCAAATTAAAATAACATTGTGATTCCATCTCATCCCAGTAAAAATGGCTACCATCAAAAAATCAACCAACAGCAAATGCTGGAGGGGCTGTGGGGAAAAATGAACCCATATTCACTGTTGATGGCAATGTAGACTGGTGCAACCACTTCGGAAATCAGTCTGGAGATTCCACAAAAAAATTAGGATTAGAGGTCCCATTTAACCCAGCTATTCCTTTCCAGGTATTTTCCCAGAAGAATTAAAAACATCATTCCACAGTGATATATGTGCATCCATGTTTACAGCAGCATAATTTGTCATAGCAAAATTTTGGAAACAACCCAAATGCCCATCAACTGAGGAATGGATAAAAAGATGTGGTATTTTTATACAATGGAGTATTACTCAGCTACAAAGAAAGATAAATTTGAGGCTTTTATAGGTATATGGATTCAACTAGAGACCATATTCATAGGTGAAATAAATCAGACTCACATGTGTAAACATCATATTGTCTCCCTAGTATAAGAACCTGAAAGCGTAAATAAAATCTGAAAGGTACAATAGATATTGTGAAAGATAAAAAAATGCTTAATAGGAAAGAACAACTGGGATGAGGGAAAAGAGGAAAGAAAGAAAAAAGGAGAGGAAAAAATATATGTATATATACAAGATAGCTAAGATAACTGTACTACTAATTTCTATTAGTTTGTTGAAAAGAACAGCTAATATTTAACTGTTTGATCAATCTTGCAGGTCTATATCTGGTAATCTGAGCAACTGCTTTGATGATAACAATAAGTAATGCAACAATCATTGTTGATTTCCTATCATCTTGTTTTGAAATTCTGTATCATTTTTATAGTTTTTGTGTTGTTTTATTTTTGTCTTCATTTTTGTTATTTTCTTTTTGTTCTTTTCTCATTACAAAAATAAATAAGGAACAAAATGTATGATAGATAATTGTGAAATAGGGTGCAAATGTTCCAGTGGGAGAAAGGAAGGAAGGTGAAAGAGAAATAGATGAGAAAAGAAGGAAAAAATGGAAAGAAAGTTTTTGTAAATAAGGAGGGAAGAGGTGTTGAAGGGAGGGTAGGGGAATGGGAAAAAAGAATTGAGATAGATCATATACAGGTACAAATTCTCTATGATGAATGTGATTATTATATATACCTAAAATGCACCAATAAACTTCATTTTTTTAAAAAAGTAAATTTATATTATAAAATATATTATATATAGTAATATTATATAATATGCTAATATATTACTATTCTATTATAAAATACTATGAGATGAAACAAAATATTGAATATTCACACGTGATATGTCCATCTCTACAAGGACAGCTCAAGAGAGGCTACAAACTGTTGGAAGTAGTTTTACACAACAAGATCAGTATACAAATTAACTCCTGTGGAATAGCCTACTTGGATATGTATTTTTTTAAAGACAACATAGTAAGAACAGAATTACAAGTTCCTAGGAGAAAATCTATCCAAATATGTGAAATATCTACAAATTAAAATAATAAAGACATAAAATATAAAGGAAGACTGAATAAATAGAAAAGATATAGAATATTGATGGATGGTGTAACAGATATACAAATTACAAGAAATCTTTTCACCACCTTTTTTGTGAGGAAAATTCAAAATTTGTGGAGAGAGGAAAGTGAATATGTTTTGCTAGATTTTCTTGCAAATAGGCATAATTTTTACAAAATTCTGACTAATGGGACATAAACAGAACAATAAAATAATTTTTTATTTTGTTATTTTGTTTCTTCATTTGTTTTACTCCATGGATGAAGCCTCCCTCCACCCATCTTCCTTTTTCTTGATAGAAATCAGATGTGATGTCCAGGGTCACAGCAGCCATCCTATGACAAGGAGGCAAAAACCTACACATAAGAATGCAAATCAACATGTATGGAAAGGACCAATACCTGGAAGAGAAAAGTGCATTCACTGCAGTAGTTCTGGATTGTTCCTCTCTGGCTGTCTGCCATGTGACTAATGTAAACCCTCATTGTTTGCCCTAAGTCAGGTTTCTCTTACTTGGATCTCGAATACTGTTAAATGCTGTATGTGAGAACACTCAATATTTAAAGACAGAAATTTCTTTTTCCCAAATAAATTTATAATCAAGTAGGTAGATGTGATCTTGATCTGGCTGAAGAAAAAGAAACTGCTGTTCTCTGTGAAATTGTGTGAAATGACAAACAGGAAGCTACCACATCCGGTTCTGGATTGTCTTAGGCTTTTGAGGGGGCCAACCCAGACACGTCGAGGTTGTATGGTTTGTTCACTGTGCACACCTCAGTCTCTACAAGCTCCCAGACCCCAGAGCCCCCTTCTCCCACCCCCCAGCTCTGTGCTATGTTCTGACATTGAGCAGGATGTGGCGTTTCACCAGAACAGATTCTATTTCAGGGCCAAAAATCCACTCTCAGGGTGCTTAGGGTGAAGAGGAGGGAAAATGAGGGTAGAAGGAAAAAAACTGGCTTCTCTGGCCCACCTCAAAGTGAGAAAGGAGGCTGACCTTTCGAAGAAATAACCTCCAGATTCTGGTCGCTCTTGAGGGGCTTCTGGTAAGTGACTTAGCAGGAGCCCTGTTTCCCACCCACCCCTGTGATCAACAGCTGCAGCCGCAGGAGTTACCTTTGCCTCGTGGCCTCTCTCCCTTACTAGAGCAAAAGTTTCAGGTTCCAGGTGCCACAGTCCTCCTACCCCATAATTCCTGAAAGTCCACAAAAAGAGACTCCTGACAAGTGCTCACAGCAAGTCCTTTCCCAGTCCCTGGAACGTAGTGTTCTTTCGTCATCGCCGCCCCCTCCGGCCTGTGCCGCCTGACACAGCCCGCGGCAGCATCAAAGCGTCTCCGCAATGTCTGTGGTGACAGAACTGAGCCACCACTTCTCTAATGTCCTGAGCATGGACACAAGCCACTGAGACCCCAAAGGATGCTGTGTTTGCTTTGAAGTTCTTAATGCCCCAGAACCTTACTGTGTCACAAGCCTTCACACCTCCTGTCCTCTCTGTGTTCTTAGGAGTAAACTTCCACAGCCCAGCAGCAAGGCAGTTCTATTCATGCTTTGGTGTCTCCTCAAAATTCTTAGTGAAAAGAATATGTTCTTTTGTTGCCCGTGGCCACTCGCTTCCAGGGGCTCTTCTGGGGCAGACAGCTGTGTTATCTCCTTGTCCCTTCTCTCCCTTCTTTGGTCCAAGGCTTTTGCTCCACTTGAACCTTCAACAAAACACACGGCTTTGTCCTCTCTCCTGGTTTCTAGGGAAGTGAACTACCTTGCCGGCTGGGCCAGGCATAGAAGTTCTTTCAGCCAGTAGCTTCAGTAATATGGAACTGGGACCTAGCTCCCTCACACAGTCCAGCTTCCTTCTCCATCTCTCCTGTGAAACCCTAATTTCTCTCAGTTGTCTCTTTCAGGACCCACTGCAGTTACTTGAGAATCTTTTGCTCACCTCTGGACTCTCACTTCTCCATTCAGCCTTTAGGGGACCATTACTGATAAAGCACTGTCACTGTCACATGCTGCATGGCTGTTCAAAATCAAGAAATGTTCAGTCAGAGAGGAGGGCAACATTTAAGTACATAGCAAGCATATCAAGAAAATAATGAGACACTCCCTATTCCAGAGCAATAAAGCTGCCTACCTTAGAGATCAAACAGTCCTCTTAATTGGCAAGATTTACTGCCTTTGTTTTTCAGGGTCCTGGTCATTTTTTCAGGCTTTTGCTTCTGTTGTGCCCCCTCTTCCTGCACTCCCCAATTCTGTGGACACCCAATAAATACAGTGATCTGGAAGAGGCTTTGCCTTTACTTCCAAAAAGTCTTCACCCTAAGAAAGTTCTGACCTTCCTGGACTTCCCCAAAAACCATATAAAAAAAGAAATAATGAAAATGCAAGTAATCTAAATATCCCCAAATAAGCAATTTGTTGAATAAACACTGGTATACTCACCCAGCGAAAACTCAGGCAATGGGTATAATTATTGTGTTGAAAAGTGATTCTCAAAGAGGCCAAGTACAATGTATGTACGACCTGCATCAGTTCATTAGGGGCTTCTATGCCAAGAAATGCAGATTTCTTGGCATAGATCACAGTTACTGAGTCAAAAGCTCAAAGAGTAGGGTGGAATCTATATTTTTAACAGTTTCCTCCAGTGATGTTTAACGCACATTAAAGTTCAAAAACTTACAACTATGTTTAGTTCATTACAAGGGGAAATGATTCTGATATATTTTAGATGACAATAGTAAGTTAGAATTTGCAATATAATTCAATTTTTAAAATAGTGTGGCCAAATGATAAATGAAATAAAGACTTGAAAAACTACATACTAAAATATTAACATTGATTAATGGTGAGTTTACAGGTTTTTTTACTGTTAAACCTTAAAGTTTTTTTTAACTAGTACATGTTTGTAGTAAATAATGTTTGCAGGGGCTGGGGATTTAGCTCAGCGGCAAAGCGCCTGCCTGGCAAGCGCAAGGTCGTAAGTTCGGTTCCCGGTACCGGAGAAAAACCAAAAAAAAAAAAAAAAAAAAAAAAAAAAAAATAATGTTTGCATTCCTTGGCAGGAGTTGGTACATAAAACATTTCAATTCCTTTTTTCATCCCTTTTTCCCTCCTTCCATGTTCCTCTGTCTCTTGATCTCTTTCCCCTTTTACCACCCTGCTTCCTGTCATCAGTGTTTCATTTTGCTCTTGCTTATACTTTGGGTTTCTTATACAACAGAAAATGTGTGATATTTAAGCTTGTGTGTTTGATTTATTTCACAGAAGATTTTTATCTTACTCTTTTCACTTTTGTGTGTGTAACTACTAAATTTCTGTAATACATATATATTTCATATGTGCTTAGAAAAGCAATAAAAGTTGTTTGTTTTTACAGAGGTATACACAAGATAAATGACCAGGGTTTTTTATTTACTTATATTCTGAATTTTTGAAAAAAGCTTTGACAATGTTGGACCATATAACAAGTAAAATGTTGGACCATATAACAAGTAAAATGTTTAAAGGAAGAACTAGAAATGGGGAGGAAATTCAGGTACAAATATAAAATGAAGCCAGGATTAAGATTAGCATCCAAGAATATGTTGCCCTAAACTTTAGTATTTGTTTCTGAAGTGGATTGTCAACTTGGCACTTCCTAATGTTAAATTATAATTAAGTAGATGTGCCAGACAGAGACAGAGAGGAGTCAAGTATTATTTCAAATTTTTAACTTTGATAACTGTGTAAAATGTGATTTCTTACAAGGACAGAAGCTTCATCAGAGCCTCGGCTAATTTTCTTCATAACTCTGCACTCCAAGAGCAGCTGTGGAATAAGGAGCTTTTTTCTTACTGCTGCAGATCCCTCAGCTAAATGACTGTCCAGGTACAAGGCTTACAGTGTGAAAGTCAAGTCCCTGTTTAAATACAAAGTTGGAGACTTCGTGAAAAAGGACCACCATAGTTAAATAAATAATTCTTCAAAGAAGATACATAAATGGCTAACACATACCTGAAAAAAACACATACCTTTTATCACTGAGCAAACACAAATCAAAACCACAATGAAATGACACTCCACACCCACTAGGATGGCTAAAATTAAAAACAAATCGAGAGAAATATCAAGTTTTGGCAAGAGTGCTAAGAAATTACGCTGCTCTGGCAATGTAAAACTTACAATGTCTATGTAAAAAATGATGCAGCTGCTACAAAAGATAGTCTGATGGTTGTTCAAAGTTAGAATTATCATATGACCCAGCAGTTTCACTGTCAGGTATATTCAAAAGAACTGGGTAATTCCAAAAGGATTAAAAACAAGCATTGAAACAAATAGATGTACACAAAACATTCATTGCAACACCACACATAATCACTAAAATCGATAAAAGGATAAACAAAATGTGATATATCCACATAAAGGAATATTATTCATCCACAAAAAGAAATAAAGTACTAACTCATGTTACAACATGGGTAAACCTTTAAAACATGCTGGATTAAGCTAGATGCAAAAGCTCATACACTGCATTATTCAGTTTATACTAAACATCCAGAAAATGTGAATACATTGAAACAGAAAGATAAACTTATGCTTTCCAGGAACTGAGGAATGGGAAATGGCTGTTTGATAGATAAGAATTTTCCTTTTCATGTAATGAAAATGTCTAGCAACTGGATAGAGGTGATGATTTCAAAATTTGAGAATGCACTACGTCACTGAATTGTGAACTTCAAAATGGACAATGATTAAATTTATGACAGGTGTGTTTTACTTCAATTTTTTCAGGGTTACTTAACTGCAGTTTTTGAAAGTTACACCTGAAACTACAGAGGTTTTCCAAAACATTCAGTTTAGAGAGGGAGTAAAATAATTAGTCTAGTTCTGTACCCCTGAGTTTGATGTTACCACAAGGCATGCCTGTGAAGGTGCCAGAAGCCAAGTAAGATTGCCAGAATGGAGCGGCGAAGGCTGAGCTGCAGCTGTAGTTCTCTCAAGCTGGAGATGGGAGTTTAATGTGTATGCATTAAGGGTACGTTCTCTTCACAGCCGCTTAGCATAAATGTTGTGAAATAGAGGCCCCAGTGGAGAAATCCCATCACTGGCCTTGGTAAAGTCTTCTTAACAGTGTGGGTTTTACATTCATTTATCACCTTTAATGAAAGTGGAGTGTGGTGTGGAAGTTCTTCACCTAAGGTTTGCACCCAGACACCTCCTCATCAGCTTTTATCTTTCTGTGCCTGACAAAGTGTGAAGAATGTCTCACCTTTCTCAGCAGTGATCCAAGATGTTTGTGGTGTGTTTAGGGGAAAGACTACTTGTAGCTGATATTTCACAAGAAGAGATGTCATGTTTGGCTGCAGGAAAGGCAGGTCATAATACTTTTCCAGATTTTCTCTAACAATTAACTTGAAACAAATTTCAGGGCCCAACTCATATTTAAACTGCTGTTTAAAAATATGATAAACCTTGATGACTGTTCAAAATAGATGAGGGATGTGTGGATATTTATTGTACTACTCTCTCCATGTTTTATATATTGAAATATTTATAATAATTTTAGTGGAATCTAAACATTACGGTAAGCTAGATTTCATACAGGTTTACTAAGCATCACCTTTGTTCTAGGCCAATGGTGGCAAACTTATGGCGTGCTTGTTGTTCTGCTTTTAAGACAAAAGATGTTAGTGTATGAGTTATTCATTCTAAACTAAAACCTCAGCATTCAGGTTTATTTGAAGTGTTGGCACTTTGCAATAAATAAGTGGGTTTTGGGCTGCAGTTTAGGCACTCAGTCTCTAAAAGGTTCACCATCACCATCTAGGCACTCAACTGAGGTCTTCACACATGATTAGTGTCTGCAGGATAGATTTCTTTGGTGATAGTTTCCTTTTCTAAATAATAGCCTATACCTTAGGTTGCAGTAAATAATGTTGTGGAATAGGAAGATAATTAATAATTAAACCTTGGGCTAATAAGAAATCAAAATAAAATTTTATGTATAATAGATTTGAAATACTCATGTAAGCCAAATAGGATCCCTCTTCAAAAATTAAGGACAATATGAGAGTTGTCGTAAACATTTCCGAATGGCTAGTGTATAGAGGAAACGTTATAGGTCTAGCATCTGTGAAACAGATCAGTTTTACTTACTTGGCTCACCATGAAAGTACAAAGTTCACCCGTGTCTGCCCAGGTAGAACTGCATCAGTATTAGGCTATAAAGTTAGTACTGCTAAATTGTCTAGGAAATGTAACTACCATGCGCTAAGCTCTGGGTGTGGTATTTCACATATCTTATCTCATTTGATCATTTTTAACAGTGCTCTATGCCAACATTTTAAACATACATATAAACAGCTCAAGGAATTTAAATAATTTGCCTTAATCACAAAGTTAATAGTTGAGCTAATATTTAAACTTAGATCAGTTTGGTGCCCAAACATATCTCTTGTCAACAGAAAACGTTTCAGGGAGCAAAGCACTCTGGGATTTATATCTTCTAACTTTGTTCATGGTTTGTTTTAGTGTGCAAGTTTTTCACACAGGCAATAAATATATTAATATTCTCCTTCATACACTATGTTTTTTCTGTCTGGTAAAGGAAATTTCTTCATTCTAAGGTCACAAATATATTCTATATTTTCTTTTAAACATAAAAATTTGTTTCTTATATTCAGATCTCTATCTTTAATTTCTATTTGCTGGTGGTATGAATTAGGGATGTAATTTAATTTTTCCCACATGAGAAAATACTCATGCAGTGTCATCAGTCAGAATCCACCATTTCTCCACTAGCTTTTAATACTTTGTCATATATTGAGTCTGTAGATGAGGGGCTTCATTATTGAACTTCCTATCTACTCTACCAATTTTTAAATTCCTGTATAAGTACTAAATTTTCTTTATAACTATATCCTGCAACCAGCATTGACATTGATATGTTCCATCTGTTCTCCAGTTTTTTGGTGGCTATTCTGGGTCTTTTTAGTTTTTTATTATAAATAGAAAATTCTATATTCTAAAACAACAAAATTT